GAAGCTCTGTAGCGAGGGTTCATCCGGCAAGGCCAAGAGACTTTGTGTATTGGCCGATTATTATCGGGAGGTTTTACGTGACGGCTTATTGTTGCCTATTTGCACGACTGGGAGTGCTTGAATTGCCTCCCTTTTATTTCTTCCAGCCGAGTGTTGAACACTCGGTGATCTCGTAAAAGGCTTACCCGTGCCTGGTACCCTTCCGCTGTTGGGACCACAAGGATTCAAAACACCTGCTAGCTTTGCTCGTGCTAGTAGCGTGTTCTAATTTTACTGGTTGGCCTATATAAGTAGTTTACAAGGTCCAGTTTGTCCCGGTGCAAGGGCAGAACTGGGGTCTTCAGGTCCGCCCGAACGATCGTTTACTATCCTAGTAGACGTATTGTTGTGGGAACATCCTAACTACATCTGTAGCTAGAGTTCACGTGGGATTTCCAACACCACAGCTGCATAGATTCTGTGGTCAACAGAACCCGAACTGCCCGTGCATGAAGAACGGAAGGTGTTCCAAGAAATTTCCAAAGGCGCTCGCGGACGAAACGGTGATGACCCCCGACAAATACCCCACGTACAAGTGTGGTCGCCGTCCGGATGGAATTTTGTGCCATAAGGAAAAGTATGGGACAACGCGACCATCAATCAATGGGTGGTCCTGTACAATCCGTTCCTGTCGCAGAAATACAACTGCCACATCAACGTCGAAGTTTGTACCACGAACAAGGCCATCAAGTACATCTACAAGTACGTCTACAAGGTCTCGGACATGACAACAATCACGATTGAAGGCGAAGAAATTCGGGCGAACGAAATTCTTCAGTATCTCCTCGGGAGGTATATTTCTCCGGTAGAAGCTTGCATGCGGCTATTCATACATCCAACACAAGGATCAACGCATTCTGTCGTGATGCTATCTATCCGTTTGCAAAGAATGAGCATGGTTGCTTACGGCGACCAAGCGACGACCCCCAGCCTCACAGCTTGATTAACCGCGGGGACAGATCAATGCTGACGGAGTTTTTCAAGCTGTGCGCGCGTAACCCAGAAACTACGGTCAATCTACTGTACAAGGATGTACCACGGAAATACAGGTGGACGGAACACAAGACGTGGGAACCGTACAAGAAGTACGTTGCTTCTCTGGGACGCTTGGTACACGTATCTCCGCAGGACCCGGAGCGCTTCTACTTGCGACTTCTCCTTTGTAACCGACACTCGCCTAAGTCCTTTGAGGATCTTCGAACGGTTGATGGTACTGAGCATCCTACATATCATCAAGCAGCTTTGGCGCTTGGGTATTTGGAAAATGACGACGAGTGGATACATTGCTTACGCGAAGCCGCCGAGGTCAAGATGCCGTACCAGCTACGCCCACTCTTCGGCACCAATTTGGTTTACTTGATGCCTGGTAATGCCAAAGATTTATGGGACAGGTTCAAGAAGGATATGTCAGAGGATTATGTACGAAGCATTGAGGTAAGAGACGCAGACCTGCATAATGTGCGCGAAGAGGAGGTGCGTCTTCGAATGGCGGAGTACAAGGCGTTGAATAACTTGGCTGATTACTTGGTTTCAAACCAAAAGTCCCTCGACATGTACGGCCTTCCTCTGCTAGCCGATTACGACAATGTATCTGCTCAAGTGGACGACCCGGATACAGCATCTGTTGATGTTGTCCAGCAAGAGATTGATGCGTACCCCCAAAACGAACTGGAGCATGTTGCGGAGCAGGCAGACCACTTGAACAGCAACCAGAGGGATATTTTTGACCAAGTTATTGCTGCTGTGAGCAGACCGGTTGGAGGGGAGAAGCTTTTCTTTTTGGATGGTCCGGGTGGAACAAGAAAGTCGTTTCTACTCGAGCAAATACGCGCTCACGTTCGGATGCAACGTAAGATTGCCATCGCGGTTGCATCGAGTGGGATTGCAGCCACTTTGTTAACTGGAGGTCATACCGCGCATTTGACGTTCCGGATTCCCCTCAAACTAAAAACTAAAAGAGACGTCGACGTGCAGCCTTTCATGGCAGAGCCAAAAAGCCGAATTGATTCGTAGCGCGAGTTTTACATTTGGGACGAAGCGCCGATGATGAACCGAGCTTGCTTTGAGGCTGTTGACAGGTCGCTTCGGGATATTATGAAGAACAAGCTGGAGTCATTCGGCGGAAAGATAATGGTGTTCAGCGGTGATCACCGTTAGATTCTACCTTTACTGAAGAATGCTACGCGTGCGGAGACGATTCAAGCTTGCTTCAAGTCTTCGCCGCTATGGGAGCATTTGCGTCAAGTGCGGCTAACCGAGAACATGCGCGTCCGCACCGCCCCAGACGCGGCCAGTGCGGCTGAGTTAGCGGAATTCTCTGAATTTTTACTTCAAATTGGAGGAGGCCGTTATCCGGTCAACCATGAGATCGGTGATGGCGATATATGCCTCCCACGCGACATGTGTATCATTCCAAAACGACGGGTACAACAAATGACCTCTGATGAAGAAGACGCGGATATGGAGCCCCCCCAAGTTTCAGGTTACCCCCTCCGGCGGACGAGGAACACGAGCGAGACTTGGACGAAGTTGAAAAAGCCCGACGAGTCCGCAGCGTCAACGCACTCATAGATGCGGTGTACCCGGGCGCTGATACTGATCATTTACCCGATGAATACTTCGTTGAGCGAGCCATACTAGCCCCCAAAAATGCAGGTGTTCGGCGTATCAACGACATGGTTGCGGAACGGCTATCGGGTGAAACGAAGGAGTATCTCTCGGTGGACAGCCTCGAAGGGGTCGCGGATGCAAATATGTTTGAGCAGGAGTTCTTGAACTCTCTTAACTTCTCCGGTATCCCTCCGCACAGGATTGTTCTGAAGGTTGGAACACCTATCATCATGATTAGAAACCTGAATAGCGACGCAGGTGTTTGCAACGGAACGCGGTTTCGGGTTGTGTCACTGCGCGAGAGAAGCATCGAGGCCAGCATTATGTCCGGGCCGTTCAAGGGTAAGAAGGTGTTCATTCCTCAGATCGTATTTTAAAGTGAGGACGATGACAAGGAGTTCCCGTTCAAACTCAAGCGTAAGCAGTTCCCCGTGGTTCCAGCGTTTACCATGACTATCAACAAGGCCCAAGGACAATCGATCCACCACGTGGTTATATACTTGGAATCACCGGTCTTCACACATGGGCAGCTTTATGTGGCGTTGTCGAGAGTGACTTCAAGGAAGGCGATCAAGATTGCTGTGGATCCAGAGGCCATCGATGAGGTCGGGAACGTACACACCAGCAATATTGTGTACAGAGAGATCTTTGGAACGCGGACTTGATAGGTCACGTAATGCATATAATACATTTAGCTTTGATTTTGAAATGTTCTTTAATCCACCGCAGCGCAGCGGAGTCGGTCAGCCCGCACTACACCAACCAGCCATGCCCTAGCGTCCACGGAGCGGGCGCCCAGAGCGCTAGTCGCTCCGCTTCTAACTTTGTAACCTGTCTGTCCGTCCGCCTGTCTGTCAATAAGTCCGTCCGTTTCCTTTCTTGCTGCTTTTTCCTGCCTTTTCGCATGGCTACACTCGACCTTTCTAATGCAGTTTCGTCCCATCTTACCGACCGCGCCTATCTTTCTGACTTGACTTAACTATGCCAAAATTTCAATTATGGCCAAAAAGCGGACACAATCAACTCGCGCCCTGATTGGGCAATACCTGCCGACCTGCGACACTGGCTGGATCTGTCGCACGATCAGACCGTCTCTCGCGCTCGCGATTGGACGTAAGGTAAACATTTTTGCCAAGAACGAAGCGCGCCGATTGGATGTAAGCCCCAATGGGAGCTGTGCTGACGATTACGTAATTACATTTAGCTACGCAAAACCTGTCCTATGTACTGCAAATCGGGCACAGTAACCACTTTATTTTGTAAGAACCCTGCGCTTTATTTTGTAAGAGCTCTGCACACTTCTTAAATAGATATTATTATTGTAGGCTTCACAGACCGCATTTGGTAAGGGCTCTGCGGAGGTATTTTCCACACACTTTTTAAAGTAGAGACAATAATATTATCAAATTAATTGAATTTTTATTAAAGTAGGCTTCACGACCTTTGCGGTAGCTGCATCCGGGCACCGCACTACATGCGCGCATGGTACCTACGTGGTAGTGCTTAAAGTCGTTGTTATTGCTTGATAGTACGGTTTGCTCAAAAATTAAAATAGCATCATTGAAGCGATTGCAAAATATTTAAATAAATATATTTGTTTAATAATGAAAAAATGGTGGCGTATTGGCTAATGTTTTGACGTATTTTATAGTTAAACAATATCATGTTTATGATATACAAATAATATTTATTATTTCGTTGAATAAAATACACCCAGCAGTAAATATCCGTTTTAATACAATTCTTGCTCCGCTTCGTCATCCGACTCGCAGGATTCCTCAGCGTTCATCTTTCTATGTCGCCGTCACTCGAGTGAAAACGATATCGCAGTTGTATCTCATGGCCCCCCTTACGAAAGAGTTTTTGGAGTATTTTACTCCAAGTCGTGATGCGCTGGCAGAAACCCAAAGACTTCGCAATTGAGGATCGAACAGATTAGGAAACCATAATGCTGTGGAAAAATTGTTACAGGTCTTATTTAAAATACAGTACTTTCTTAAGTTAGGGTACCAGCTTGTTTTCAAGTTTTCGAAGTTCGGGGATAGCCACTCAAATGAATGACTATCATTCTCGCTCGGTTTGTTGATGTCTTCTTCTAGACTGGAAGTCTTAGTTAAATCGCAATTCTTCTCCTTTTTTTTCTTCTAAAAAGTCCTTCATTCCGCACTAGTTATTACTTTTTGAAAATACCGTAATATCCAGAGCTTCACCCCGTTCCCAACCGAAGTATCTCTCTGACGCATGCGTTCCATGCGTTCCCTAACCCTAGACTTTGGTTGGAAATGGAATTCAAAAATCATAAAACATTCTGATTGGATAGTTTTTACGTGATAATAACCAATCTAAGTGGACGACACTGCGAATCACAGCAAAGAAGGAGAATCTCAGCGAACTATGGAGCCAGACGTCCCCATTGCTCGACGTCTAGACCCTGAGCTAGTTAACGCTGCAACCTCATCACCAAACGTTGACCGCCGAGGTGCTACTGCTTCTCCCCATAGACAATGGGATATTGATGTGCAAGAAGATGCTCTACCTGCTGCACGTGTTCCGGAGACAGTCTTCCCTAGTTGCAGCGGTGGTATAATGGAGGGGCATTTCGCCTGGGAGCCGTACGAAAAGAAGTCGCAAGATCTCATACGGAAAGAGTGTAGTTTACGTGAAATCAAACTCAACACTAGAACAAACAAGGCGGATAGGATCAGGTGTCTTCGGCGCTACGACGAGCTAATGAACAGCGGACAAAGTGCTTCGGCAGCTTCAACAATGGCTGCGGGGGGAACACGGCGAACGAAGCACTGCACGTTTCGTTTAGCTAATGCTGTGCTATCCGATAACTTGTTCATGAGGCTTATTGAAGCTACAGGTGACGTAAGTCATATTGTAACTAATGCAGCGACTAACATAATCATTATTAAAAATACGCAGGAAGAAGCTTTAATCGAACTGACTTGGATGACGTTCAGTCTTCAGCGAAATCTCAGTTTTGGCGCGACGTGGCTACTGCGTATCACTCAAATGACGAGGTCTTTCGAGGGCTTATCGAAGATGATTCTGCCTTTGAAGATATCGATCCTGGCGTCATTGTTCCTCACAACCCAGCTAAGCTGGAGGAGCTTTGGAAAGAACTGACTTCGTTTTTTAGCATTTGCGCGGCAAATTTCCGTTTATCTGGAACTCACGAACAGGAGTTCAAGCAGTTTGTGCATGGCAAAATGGACGTACTGTATTTATGGTACTGGTTGAAGGTGAGTCTATAGAATGGGAGTGGCAATCATGCAATCTAATAAAGTTGTTATTCAATTAACAGAAGCGACCAGAGGCTCTTAACAGTGCCCGTGGCGGAATGTATGAGGAGGACGAATTCGATTCACTTTCATCGTCAACTCCGACACGTGAGCGCCGAAATGCAACCCCAAGCAAAGCCAGTTCAACGAAAAAGAGGCTACGCGAGAGCCTTTCAAGCAGACGTACTCCCAACAAGAAGCCCAAAGCTGATTCCGACTCAATGGAGGTGCTGGTAACGCTCGTTGGTAGAATTGCAGCCGCGAGGGAGGCTGAAATCACACTTGCAAGAGAACAAGATCTAGAGGCTGCTGTCCGAGTGCGTTCTGAGCACTACAAGATGCTCGATGATATCCGCAAGCGCATCGATAAAATCGAATGCGAAATGAGCTCAGCGGCAAGTCCAAAAAAGCACCGTCTTCAAGTTGATTTAGACTTTTTCCTCGAAGAACGTCAGAGAATCATGGATGCAGTACGCACTCAAAATCTGTAATCGTGCTGAATTGCACTTCAACGTTCGTAATCAAATTATGAATCCGATAATACAATTCAAGATGGACGTACGTGCATCGTGCATGCAAGGCGATATTTCCCTTTCCACCCAAGAAGAAAATACATTTTTTCGTAGTTATACTAATGCAAATTAAAAAAATGCTCTTCATTCAATAATTTTGATGGTGACCTAGCATATCTTGATTCTCTAGTTGAAATTTAGCCTTGACAAAGTCGTGTACTGCTCCTTCCAACAGCTTGTTGGAGTCTTCCTTCTCAGCCAGTTCTTGAGCAAGCTGTAGTTCTTCATGCTGATGAGCTTCAGCAAGCGCTTAGGCTTCTCAAAGCCGACGCTCTTGTTTGGTAGCGACTACCGCCACGGCCGTATCAATCACGGACACCTACGAAGTGCAGTTTAACCGTTTTATTTAGAATATCCGCAAACCAAGCACGGTCTTTATCGTCAATCAGTCGATCTGAGAAAACACGACGACCCTCGTGACTCCACAAGCGAACGAAAACTTTCCCGTCCTTAATTGTATCACTCGAAGCTTGTGCGACGCCTTGAAAAACCTTGGATAAATCTCGTAGATTAAACGTGTAGTGAGATTTAGCTGGGGTAGGCAGTAAAGCCTGCGAAATGGTGATGTAAATGTCGATTGTAGCACTCACAACCGCTCCACCGAGCTTTTTCACAGCCTGAGGGAAATTCAGCAGAAACCAGTCCGTAATCCGAGTAGAAATGGCTCGGAGAAACTTATTTCGAACGGCACGAAGTTAATCAGGTTGAAATAACGTACATACCGCTGGGTAATACGAGCCCGTCCACCTCCAGGAGGACCCATCGGAGCGATAAAATGAATATCCACGAGCTGAGTGAGCGAATTGTCCTTGCGGTTGTACCATCCTCCGTGTCTCATCCACAGGCTCAATAGTTCAATGGTGGTTGAGCGCCGTACGTCTCTTTCGCTGGCATATTGAGGTCGTCCACAAAGATCACGCAGCTTTGACCCAGCGGTGGACCTAGTACGCCTTTACGGCGTTTATCCAGCTTGGTTTTGATCAGATCTTGGGTTTGATTAGCACTTGTTTGGGCCGAGAAGTTGAGGAAGATCGACGGGGCGAGTTTTAGCGGTTTTTCGCTGCCTGGTGGGTTATTTAACCCACCAAGCAGCTTCTTCTTGATAGACACGGACTTGCCGGTTCCTGTATCACCAGTGCAGAGAACATGAAACTGGTGGCGAATGAGAGAGTCTAACAGCCACACGCTGCGTTCTGAGTCGATGGCTGAGTCTAAAACTTGAGTAAATTGGGCATCTCTGGGAATCTCGAACGTGCCAGAAGCATTCATCCAATTAACCCACACACAGCGTCGGGTATCAAATCGGTAGTCGTAGACCAGCCCTTCGTCAGGTATCTTCGACATCGCTTTTCGGTCCGGAAGCAGTAAATACGACTGAGATTAATCCACAAAGACCTTAAAGTAAAGTAGAGACGGAGATGCTGGTACTCCCGTGTGGTCGGCCGGTTCTTCACTAGCAGCGGCGGCAATAGCTACGGCGGGTTCAGCGGGGAAAAAGTCACGCAGATACCTGTCAAATATCCGACGGGATTTCGTGTCGATACAAGCCCCAATCGACCAAATTACTGCTTTAACCAGTACAGACTCGAGAATCTTCTGGGCATCCGATTCACTTGGGACTACAGACACCGTCGAACCTTCCGTTGGATCGGGGAATCTGTCACGTAGAGCGCATTCAAATAGTCTCAATAACGACGCCGCATGTTCCAGAAGCGTGAGAGACTTGCTCAGTTTGTACGAAGCTTTCCACCACTCCGTTACTAGGCCTTCGATCGTCCCTCCTGTGAGCTCCAAGAACGATCCGTTGAGCCACGCCTGGCGACTCGCATGAAACTCGAAGCTCATAGTCCACAGTTTAAAGTACAAGGCAAAGTCTCCTTCAAGCTTTAACAAAAGTGGCGTGTATTCAGCTACATGTATCACAAACCTCCACTTTGGCCACTTGTAAGGCGTCCAGGCATTCCGCTACCACTGCGCGACGAGCAGCTCTTTGCTGTTCATCGGATTCTTTGTCAGTATCAATGCCAAAGTCCAACAGTGGCTTCCGCTCAAGAGACAGAAGTCCCATGATGTCACAGTCCAATCTATCAATCTCCTGCACTGCAAACGCGATTGCATCCAGCGGTTGTAGCAGAACGGCCGTAACCCTTTGAGCTGAAAGTTCCACCACAACCTCATTGTTCACAAAGGCTAGCCGGACGCTGAGCAGCGAGCCACGGGGAGCTCGGATCTCCTTCAGCTCTCGAGTCGAAGTGAATCCCTTCCTAAGTGAATGACCCAGGACGTCATCCTCGTCTGCTTAATAGATTTCCGCTTGATCACCCCCCCCCCCTTTCGACGTTTCAGGTTGAAGGATACCGCTCTCAGCATGGCGGTGTACGAAAAGGACCCATTCACGCACGGATCGATAATTTCACATAGCTGAGCTACCAAACGCAGCTCCAATCCAGTGAGAACTCTCTTCCGTCCGCTTACATCCTACACGACACGGTCAGAGAGGAACAAGTCGAAGTAGCCTTGAAGGTTATCGATCACGTTCTCAGCAAGAGCGCGTCTCCAATCCATTAGTAGGATCTCTGTCACCTTATTCGCGTGTGCGGCTTGCAATACCGGGAAGTCCAACACTCGGAACGGCATTTGGGCCGCTAGTGTTGGTGCTCCGTTACCTTCTTTCGAGTTTTTATTCACCTGAACCAACAACAGCCCTCTGGAATGTCTTCTCCCAGCCCGTATACATGCGTCGCAACACAGCGAGTAATTGCGGCGAACTGGTGTACGACGCGGTGCTCACGCGTCGACTTCGCTTAAAATCATGAGCGGGGATCGCCACTTTGCCGTACGTGATAGCTCCGGGCTCAGTCTGTTTCTTAGATCCAGGAACAAAATCAAGACCGCGAAATCGAGCCTGCAACGCGGTGTCATTGCGTAATTTGGTCAGCACCGCCGCCTTCTTCATACTCCGCATGTACTCTTGAATGCTAGTATCCGTGAGCTGTCGTAGCAGAGACGTAGCCGGCTGCGAGTCCAACAAAGCCACACGTTCAGGTAAACCTGCCACCACTCGAGCATGCACACGCTTCAGAGTTGGGCGTCCCCCCGCAGTTAGGACGCGTCTTGTTTAGCTAAGACGTCGTCAAACCTGAGCATCGCCTTCACTTGGTCTCGTCGTCCCCGTGCTGCAGCTACCCTCCTTTCAAACGTAATGGCTAGCTTACGCTTAAAGCGTAAGTTGATCCTCCGTACCAACTTCTATTTGTCTGATCCTTGAAACTGCACCAGATACTGTGCACGTTCCACATCGTTACTTAACGCTGCACAGCTCCTTCGTCTCCACTCTCCCTGGAAGAAATACGGCGAAGCTCCCACGCGTTACCTTTCGACCCATTCCTGTGGACTGTACTCTTCAAACACGTCGCTATCGAAGAGATGCAGCGGGAATTGACACTGATCAAGCTGGAGAATATCTTCGTCCGGATTCATAGAGCTCTCTTCACGACCGTGGCTTGGGCCTCCGCCGCCTCGACGGCCGTATCAACACGGACACCTGCAACATCCATCACATCATCGAAACATTGGACTACACCACCTGCCAATGAACAATGTCACCTGTAACTGAGCTTCCGAGAGCTGGAGCTACTGTAGACGCCTCATGAACGTCAGATCCTTGTTCAACGGCACCAGTCACCTTTTGAAAGCTCGCCTCTGGTTGGTTTCTCGTCCTATTTCTCTCGGGGCGGAGCAAATTTTTGCTTGCCAAGTACCGAACGAGGTCTGAGCGAACCTTTTCATCCATTAGGTCTACGTGACTGCCATTCCCGAGCTCCACATCAGACCGTTCATACTCAAGAGATCTTTCACCAGCCCATGAACGAACCTCTCGTATAAAAGACTGTACAAGTTGATCTGGCGATGACTTGGTGGACTGACAACGTTGCGTTATACAAAAATTATGCAAACGGAAACACGCCGAAATTAGAATACGACAATGTCGAAGACTAACCAGCAGTGGCTGCTTTAAAATTCTCCAGGTATTCACTAGTAGACCAAACGCCATCTCCACTCGAATTCGAAGCTGGCTAACATGAAAATTGTAGCTATCACGTTCAGGCCGATCGTCAAGCTGTGCCTTGTTAAATGGGGTCATCACGCGTCTGCTTTGGACATAGGCATTATCTCCGATAACAAAGTATGGCCCAGACATTTCTTGAAGCACTTGGCTTAGTTTCCACTTTTGAAATGCATATGAATCGTTCATACCACCAGGTGAATTAACTGAAAATGCGGTAAAACGACATAGCGATCAGCACATGCTTGAACGTTTATCCATACTTCTGATAATGACCCGAAAAAAAAGACAAAACACGTCCACATTCATCGTAGCGAGGTACACGGATTGGACATAGCCATCCGTCGATAACACCAATGCAATGCTCAATCACTCCGTAGTTACTGCAAGACCGAAATGCAGCTGCGGCTTCGTCCAATTCATCTGGTGCTCTCGGAAAACGAGGTGCGAGCTTCTCAGCATCATTAATTGCGTACATCACACGATAAACAACACGATAAAACGTAGACTTACTAATTCCAGTAATTACACGAATATGATGATAGCTACCACCCGCTAGCCACGATAGTGCACACTGCTGTGGTGTAGTGATTTCTCCGTGGTTGCGGATTATCACCCGTCGACAAAGACGTGACACCGCCCAAGTTGTTCAAGCGACGAACCCTCGGTCGGGTGATGTACGGAGACGCCAAGGTGCAAGGGACTCGACGGCGTCACCTCCGAGTTTTCAACAAGTATCGGATACGGCCCTATGTCACTGAATCCAGGCTGTCCTTATTATTAATAATGGACTGGCCGGATTCGCATTCAGCGGACCATCTACGGTACGAACCCTCAGTGGCGGTTGGGATAAGTTCGCGGAATACTCAGCGACCTTTGGAAGACACGTTAACCGTCTGGGACAGGGCGCGGACCGTTAAAGATGCTCATGCGACAGTGCAGACGACGCTTGGCATGCAAGAAGATCCATAACGGATCATTGTTCACTTGATATTTGTATACTTGATTAGGACTTCTTATTAGGAATAGACCCGAAAGGGTAAGCTTAAATACAGAACAGAATTTCCACTCAAGCACACAGAGCGACGTCCGGCTTCAAGGTAAGCGTCAGGTCAAGCTTGGTTGAGTGTGTTATGCCTGTCGGTGAACTCGAAGCTCTGTAGCGAGGGTTCATCCGGCAAGGCCAAGAGACTTTGTGTATTGGCCGATTATTATCGGGAGGTTTTACGTGACGGCTTATTGTTGCCTATTTGCACGACTGGGAGTGCTTGAATTGCCTCCCTTTTATTTCTTCCAGCCGAGTGTTGAACACTCGGTGATCTCGTAAAAGGCTTACCCGTGCCTGGTACCCTTCCGCTGTTGGGACCACGAGGATTCAAAACACCTGCTAGCTTTGCTCGTGCTAGTAGCGTGTTCTTATTTTACTGGTTGGCCTATATAAGTAGTTTATAAGGTCCAGTTTGTCCCGGTGCAAGGGCAGAACTGGGGTCTTCAGGTCCGCCCGAACGATCGTTTACTATCCTAGTAGACGTATTGTTGTGGGAACATCCTAACTACATCTGTAGCTAGAGTTCACGTGGGATTTCCAACACCACAACTGGTGCCGCGACCCGGAAACAGATTGTGACCATTGTGAACTGTTTGTATGGCCTTCCAGTTTACGAGCTACCAAGAGAAGAAGAACAAGAAAAAGACAAGAAACATGGCGAAAGGACAACCGACGGTACCAGCTACGCCTGCCAAGTCTGGCGAGGCTCGCAACGAGAGTTCAAGCCCGGCTGCGCGCTTTGCAGCCGCCACCGAGCTTTCAGTGAGCTTCGACGACGAAGCGGACATCGGTCCTGACGCCCACGATTATGAAGATTACGAAGATAAGACGCCGGCTCCAGAGCCAGGCGCAGCGACGCCGGAGACGGCCACGCTATCATCGGGGCTGAGCGGGGCGACCAAGTCCCTTTCGAGGAACCTCGCCGACGAGCTCGATGATGTTGCGGGACCGGAACCGGCCTATGATGATTATGACGATGGGACCGAGGGTTTTAAACCTTCGGTGGCGAGTGCAAAGCATTCAGCACTGCTGAAGGCAACTCGCCCACCTATCAACGGTGATACACCAGCCGCCAAGCGCGTTTTCGACCGCGTACAAGCGCTGATGCAGAATGATGAGTGGATGCAGCTGTTCAAGCCCATCCCCAAGAAAAAGGCCGACTGGCCTGCGCTTGCGCAGGAACTTCAATACCCAGTCAACTCGGTTTCGACTAGTCAAGTTGCCGAGGATTCAGTTTCGCTACTGTTGTCGCTGGGGTTCGAGAGCGAGACGTACCCATCAACGATGTCGCTCCAGGATTGGAGTCCACATGAAGCCGGAGCTGCTCTCCAGAAATGGAAGAAGAAGCTTCGGAAGGCGTTTGGCGCCGTTGGCATCAATGCCGGAAAGCAGCCTGTGAGTCGACCGATGATTCAAGATGAAGATCCGTCTAAGATTCCACTGCCGCCGACGCCCCAACGACTCGTTCGTACTCCTCCGACCAAGCGTGGAGCTGAGCGTGGTGCCTTTGGCACTACCGAAGCTTCACCGTACTTTCAAGACTCGCACATGGTTACGCCACGTTCGGAGAGCCGTATGCAACGTATTTACGCAAGTAACGAGGGTTCGTTCGGTCGCCGAGGCGGTGCGCGAGCTCCCAAGGGTGGTGCCGGACGTCGTCAAGTCGACAGCGATGGTTCGTCCAGTGACGATGACATTTTGGTGCGTACATTCGACGAGGAAGATCCTCAACTCGAGTTGATGCGTCAGATGAATGAGCTAGCGACGCTGAACGACGTGGACCCAACACCGAGGATTGAAATGGCTTCGCACCGACCGCTGGATCGCATCACGCCGTTCTCAGGCTCTCGCAACAAGAGCGAGAACTGTATGCAGTGGCTCCGTGGGTTCGTCTATGAAATGACTGGAACCCACACAGATGCCGATAAATGGTGCATTCCATTTGAGCTAAGTCTCCGGGACGGAGCCATTCATTGGTTCCGTCAACTTCCGAAGAAGACGAAGCGCAAGTGGAAGCTGCTGAGCGATGCGTTCATCCGCTACTACTGCTCGCAGTTCACGCAGACGGCACTGTCGCGTTACTACTCCGCCAAGCGGGAACGAAATGAACATCTGTGCGACTATATAAACGGGCTGAACGGCTACGCTCGGACCGCCCGTCTACACTTTGAGAAGAGTGGTCGCGACGCGAAAGAACACGTACAGCAGTTCCTGGCAACATGCGACGATGACAAACTAGCGGAGAGTCTCTACCACGCTCGAGTCGCCGACATTCACGAGCTCGAGGAGATCGTCGAAGATGTTCTCAAGGGCAAGGAGAGAATGGCCAAGCGTGACAGTGAGTACCGATACTCTAAGAGTCGTGATACGCGACGCGACGATGGGTACGCCCGCAACAACCGGCGTGATGACCGTCGCCGCGATGACAACCGCAACAAATCAAGAGTGACACTCATTGAAGCTACGGTGGACGACCTACTAGCTGAATTAGAAGGTCGTGAAGCTGCTCAAGGAGGCAACGAGTATTCAAACGAAGATCCGAACGCTTACGACAATGTCCAAGATGAGTACAACGACTTTCAGCCCGATAATACGGATGGCGATTTCTCATTGGAGGAAAACGACCGATACCTCGCTGCTGCTAACGAAAACGAGCGCCGTGCAGCTGCTGAAGGCACCTACGCACGTTCGGACAACCGTCAACCGCGTGGAAACACGCCTGATCGCGAGAATGGCTTCAATCAAGATCGCCGAAGTAGTGACCGTGGGTTCAATCAGGACCAACGCGGTCGACGTGACTTCAACCGCGACAACCGACGCCCACAGTACGGACCATGCGCGG